TGAGCCCGATCCCAGTATAAAACGTGAGCTGAAAGGAAGAGAGAGGGGAGAGCCAAAGAGTGAGAAAACACCTTCTTCTTCAGATTTTAGAGAGAGAAAGGTCAAACCAAAGGAGAAAAAAGGCTAGGGTTTGCTCCAAGTGTTGAATTGGGAAGAATCTCCTCAATAGAAGATCAACATAAGATCAAAGGAGAGTGGAGGCATCTCCATGATGGTTTCTACTTCTTTCTTTTGTGTTCTTCTCCTTTCTAGCATGGAGTAGTACTCTTTTTCACTTGGATGTTGTGAAACCCTAACTATTTACCATGTAGTTGTAGTGTGAATTGAATGATTGTTTATGGGTGATGTTTAATTTAATGATTGAGGTATTTTTCATGATGATTGTGCATGTCTATGCTTAGCAATCTAATTGGTCATTCTAACCCAGGTTAGAGGGGAAACCCCCTTTCCAAAAGAGGCTCAATTGAGTTGGGATTCCTTGGGCTTTTCAAGCCACCTACCTAGGTTAATGTAGGGCAAACCTCTATCTTGAATTAATCAACTAGGTTAATCGTGATTAAGCCGTCTAACCATCGGTGTTAGAGAGAAGGTAAGTCAACCATTAATTGCCTTAACCAAGAGGGCTACTCTTGTAGCCTATAATGTATCCCTTGGTTTGGCAATTCAGAGTGTGGTCTTCGACCATAGTTTCACCTCCTAGCGGTTCACGATTTCCTTGCCCATAACGTCTCATTCGAGTCCACGTGCCATGGTAGTAGTTAGGGGGAAGCGACACCCGAGTGATCCTTCTCATCTAGAGCTTTCAAACCATTTACCTGTGCTATGTTTTAATTTAAACTTCATAGTTTTCAACCAAAAACCAATTCGCTAGATAATGTTCCAAACAATGGAAGTAGGGGTACATTGCCCTGCCCGGGTTGATATTTAAACATACTTGCTCTGTATTGCACCCATCTAAGGTTTGTACTTGGGCCTTAGGTGGGAATTCTTTGTGATACTCAGGACGAGTCACTCCACGAACATGTTTCTTTTTCCACACATGTGTTTGCTTGAAGTATTATCCAGATACAACATGTTGTCTCTCGGTTTTTCATCTCCTTGATGCGATAGCAGCAATGTGCCTTTGACTCCTTCTTCTTGCACATTATTTGTTGTCTCCTCCACTTCTTTAGGCGGACTCCAACATTTCGATGCATAATTCCTGTACTTCGAGCAATTATAGCACTGGACTTTGGATTTATCTCGACCTTCATTTGATCTCCGATTTCCTTTTCCACGTCCATGACCATGACCTTTGCCTCTGGTGGATGATTCATAGTTGTTCGTGTTGAAATTTTCTCCGCCTTTGCTTTGATATGCTCCACTTCTATTCCTCTACATCTATACTTGCATCTGCCTCGACCTCTATTCTGACCTCCTCCTCGTGCACCTTCTTTCTTATCAGTTGTAGATTTTTTAGCTAACACTTGCTCTAACGATTTTTCATTTCTTTTATTTAGTCTTCCATCTCTGGCATGCAGTGAGCCAATAACTTCATCCACCATCATCTTTAACACGTCTTTTGATTCCTCCATCGCCACCACCGCATAGTCAAATTTTGGTACTAGCGATCGTAGAATTTTCTCCACCACTGCGGTCTCTTGAATTTTCTCCCATGCTGCTTCAGCTGGCTGACAATTGACTTCACACCGGCTGTGTAGTCTGACACTGATTCTCCTTACTTCATCTTCATTGCTTCAAAATATTCCATGAGTGTCTGAAGTCGAACCTTCTTTACTGGTTCCACGCCTTGCATTTCCTTTTGCAAAATTTCCCATTCTTCCTTTGGTGTGGTAGCATGTGCAACTTGGTCGAACATCGATTTGTCAAGACATTGATCAATAAGAGTGTGTTCTTTTTGATCACTCATTATATTCTTTCTCAACACTTCCTTTTCAGCAGGAGTTAACTGAGAATCCTCATTGGGAATCTCGTAAACTTTTTCAACAATATCCCAAGCATCTTGGGATCCCAACAAGGCTTTCATGCGAATACACCAATTTTTTTTAATTGGTTTTGGTAAGGTGGGGAAATTGAATGGGGAAAGATAATTTTTTGGCCATGAGACTATCGTGATAACAACAGCATGAGAATTTTTTTTTCTGATGTGGAAGTTCAGACTGCGCTGCAACCACAAAACATACTAAGAAATAACTCGGGCTCCGATACCACTTTGTTGGAAATTAAATAATTATTTGCTTAATATTTGGCTTTGGCATGCACGTTTAGAGAGAATGGCAACCTTGATTTTTGTTTGATTTGGTGGGCTTATATTTTCATTATTTTGGGAGAGGCAATTTTTGAACAATGTAGGCTACATAGAGAGCTTTTGGAGAAGGAATCTTATTCTTTCTTTGTTTGGGTCGGCTTCTCTACACGAACACAATAAGCCTTTATATAGGCTGCCCAAACCCAATAAGCAGCACCCCTAATCAATATGGCAGTTGGGAATCACCTTTGGTTTGTGGCTGCTTTTCATCCATGCAACTAGCCCTCTTTAATGACCATTCTACACAATTCCATATCACATTGCACACACCACACGTTCTAGACAACTCTGTTATTTTGCTTAGATATTTTTAATTAAACTTTATTTTAATTTCATCAGAAGATGGGTTCTTCTGGAATTGGAAACGTGCTTTTCGAGTTATTTTTTGGAAATAGCCCAGAAAGAAGAAGGTGAAAAAGCAAGTTTCCCCCGCTGCCTCTCCCCGTTTCTAAGAGATAGGGTTCTGTTTGAGCTCTGTCGGAGAAATTGAAAGCAAGTAAGAAAGAGAAAAGGAAAAAGGAAGGGGGAGGGACGGTACGGTTTGAGTTTGAAATTCTGAAAATTTTAATTTTATTATTTTTTTTATTGTCACGTCCTATATTTAACGGTTAACTTAAAGAGTAGACTGCCACATAAGCAAAAGTTAACGAAGTTGGACGGATAATGACCAAACTTGATATTTTTAGTAATTTCAATGACCACAAATGAAATACAATATTTTTAGTGACCAAACTTGAAATTTTTTAGTAAATCAATGACCAATCATGGCATTTACCCATAAATTCTTGTTATCAAACTCTTCGCTGATAATAACTTGGCTGAGGTTGCATTATCGAGAATCTACGAATTGGTTTCTCTTGCAGGTTTAGAAATGAATCAATGATCATAAGAAATTAAATATAGAAAACGAAACAAAAGAATAGGCGAAGATGAAAACTTCGCAAAGAACCAATCACACTGATCTTGATCTTGATCTATTATAATTTTATAAATCTATGACTATCTATCCAAAAGGGAATTGCTAAAGGTCGCACTTAAAATTGGTAAAGGTCTCCCTAAAAAATACTAAAGTTACACTTTTAACCCTTTAGCTTCTTTACCTTCCCTTTAACAAACTAACACAATTTAGACTAAGCAAAGAAAAAAAATCCGAGAGAATCTATCATCGTCATTCTGGAGCCAGAATCATCGGTAGGACGTATGAATCATTGGCTCAGATCATTATGAGAACGTAGAACAATGATGATAATGATTAAACTTCTACTTCTGGGGTTGCCTCATATCAACAGGATCTTGGCTGGGTAGAACCATCCCTAAAATGGTAAAGACTTTTACTTTCGGAGTTACCTCACATCGATTGGATCTTGAGTGCGTACTAAATTGTGCTAATAATAAAAAGCAATGCAGTCAAAATCGCGCTTTAAAACTTAAAAACTTACGATTTTACATTTTTAGGTCACCAAAACGCTTTTGTTTCAATATAAAAACTTAAGTGTATAAAATCAGACTAAATTGCGCTTTAAAGCTTAAAAGCTTACGCTTTTACGCTTCTAGTTCACCACAAAGCTTTACGTTTTTACGCTTTTACGCACTAAATGAGTATTCTTTTCATGAAATTAATTATAAACATAATATTTTAAAAGTAAATGACCGACAATATGATACATTTGAGATTAAAAAGATATATACCAGATACTTGGATGCATTCTCAACTACAATTGAGTATTCTAATTCACTAGCTAGGCTCTCCCTGAATTCATTAGCATAGAGAAAAAAATGGCTTATTGTTAAAATTTATGTTAACGAACTTATTATTAAGATGCTATAAGTTGCTCTACTTTAAGCATGAATAGCATGTATTTGTTAACTTATCTAAATTTTGTGCATTCATATTTTGCATAGTATATGTCATACTTAACATATTTTTAGTTATTTTTCAGTATGCGTAAAAAACTTACGCGTTTACGCTTTGATTCTACGCTTTACGATTTTATCCTTTTTCCGCTTCTAGGTAGAATCGCGCTTTTGACTGCATTGATAAAAAGTTCCTTTTTCGGAATTTGTTCAGATCGACATGATCTCGACCACGTAAAATAGTAGTGTTGATAACATGTTATAAAATAACCGTTCCAGAATAAAATATATGAACATCAGAGACCACAAATGGAGAGAAGAGAGAGCTTCTTATTGAGTAATACCAACACACTTTACACCTGAATCATAAGAAGAAGCAAGAGATAGGAATGGAAGAAAAGTAGTCCATGTGTCCATAGCTTCTTCCTCTCAACTCTACTACTCTATTTATAGTAGAAACTAAGAGCTGATGGGAGATAATGGTAATCAATCCCATGCCTTGTCATTCCTCTAAATTACAGCTCACAGATGGATCAAAGAAAGCAATGTGGGAGTTGGACATAAATACATTCATAATAAGACCAAAGTACAAGCAAATTATTTTGAGAATCTAATAGAATTCTAATGATACAGATCACAACAGACCCAAATAAATGTTGGGAAAAATTCACTATGAATACATACTGAGACGATAGCTACACTCATCCAACCTCAATTTACCCACATTGACCAAGCTTTCTTTGTAACAATAAAAGCCACAAAGATGATAGCAGTTCGACTGTAGAACTTTGCTGGTTTGCGTACAAGGGTCGAACAATACAATCTGTCTAAGTAGACCATTTTCTAAAATGAATTCAAAATTTTCGGGTTCTTGAACTCTGGAAGCCAAGATAAGCTGATTCTCCCCCCAATTCCCGACCACCATCATATCCTTGGGAACGAATGGAGTAATAGCCAAATATTTGACCCAGCACCAATCTTCACTCAATAACCACATATCATATCCACCACCACCATCCTGGATAATAAATAAAGCAACCGAATTCCCGTACAGGGAAAGTCGCTTGGGAGGAATATCAAAACATTCAACAGAGGGGACGGATACAGGATCATTTATCACCCGGAAAACATCCGTCCCAAGGTCGAATGCCAGTGCCGCAACAGGAGATGAACACAGCCAAAACACAAACCCATTCAAATACCTGCAAGAGTCGTTGTAATCAAGTGTGTCAACCTCCTGGGTGAAATCTTCCAACTCTCTCCAAGAATCAGTCCCGAGTGTGTACACCGACACTTGTGAAGGGAACTCTGGCGAGGAGTAGCTGCTCGAGCCCGTAAAGTGAGAAGAAATCGGATGCGTGAAGTGTCGAATCAGAACTATCTTCAAATCATTAGCGGTCTTATCCAGCCCCAACCCACATGAGTAGCAATCTTGAAAGTCAAAGTCTTGCATCGGGTTGGCTCTTCTGTATCTGGGGGATGGTATATCCCTAAAGGTGCCTGTTGCTGGATTCCACAAGTAAAAATAACACCTAATGAGAGAGCCCAACAAAAATATGCCATTGCAGGGTCCGGTGATCACCGGCAGCGGGATCTCCAATAGCCGAATTTGCGATGCATCTGCTGCATCAGGATAAAGCTGCTCAGCATATAAGAAGGGATAATTACGAATTTCAGACTCGTAAATGATGAGGGACCGAGAGGCATCGCCAGCTGGACCGTTTGTATAGTTCTGGAGGTGCAAAGAAGCTAGATAGGGACTTGAAATCATGGCATTCCAACGTCTGCAGACCAACTTCAGTTTAAACAGAATTTTCACAGGCAGCCGAGAAAGAATTTCGACCAGAATATCTTCCTCCAACTCATAGGCTTTATTCACCACCACGGACAAGCACATACCTTTCTCCTCCCCCTTAATCCCCTCGCGCTACAAAAAGAAAAAAAAAAAGCCACTCGACTAGTTAAATTCGGCATAGAAATATCAAATCGAAACAGTTCATCTATCGTTCAAGAGCGTAGGTGGATGGCATAGGAAATCTACTAGTTTCACTATCGCATACCATATAACATTTCCTTGTGAAGTTAAGATAATGTGACTGCCTATCATAGTGTCATTTGTGTTTGTCGATCCAGATGTGGATGCCAACATGAACTACAATCAACTAGCATTAGCAAAAATCTAGCTATGGATGCAGACATATCTCTAAACGATAAACTTGATTTGACGAATAAAACTAAGCATCAATTCATCAGCCAAAAAAAGCCTTTCAATAAAGAAAATAACTTTAAATCATCTAAAGGATAACAGTGAGTGAAATAATGAGATGCGCAGTTGGATACCTCGAGTTCCATCTGGCTATGGCGTCTCGACTTCAAGGCCGACAGTAAGGCAATAAGGATTCGATAGAGAACAGGAAGAACCGAAGTAAAATTCATTAAAAAAAACCGAAGTAAAGAAAGTTGCTAGCACAAGCGGTTAAGCTTCTCCAAAAACTCCAGCTTTTTTCCTCAATGTTTGTCTCAATAGGCAAACCTTACGTACGTCTCAACTGACACTATATCGGAAACACTAATTGGGCAATACAGAGGATATATGTAGACTAATTGGGCAATACCGAGAAGATTGACGGTTGCAATCGAGGAATCGAGAAGAAGAAGAAGAAGAACAGAGGGGAAAGCAATTGAGAGAGAGGAAAATTGGCAAACAGAGAAGATTGGTGGTTGCAATCGAGGAATCGAGAAGAAGAAGAACAGAGGGGAAAGCAAGAGAGACTGGGAAAATCGGCAAACAGAGAAGATTGACGGTTGCAATCGAGGAATCGGGAAGAAGAAGAAGAACAGAGGCGAAAGCAAGAGAGAGAGGGAAAATTGGCAAACGGAGAGAGAGAGAGTCTGTAAAAATCGATGAACGCGGAAGCGAACAAGAACACGGCACAAGGAGAATAGTTCACGGAGAGCTAGAAGCTATCGGCTGAGTGTTTTATTTCTTAGTCTTTTTTGCTAGGGTTTACAGAAGAAGAAGCGGCCAAATATATACAACCCATTCCCTTAACACCATGCAACGTAGGGAAAGGGAAAATAACAGAAAGATCCCTACTATAATGGCCAATTACAATACGAATCCCTACCGTCCCCTCAAGCAAAGGAGTGAATATCGAGAAGTTCAAATTTGTCGAAGAGATGATGAAACTTATCCACGCTCAATCCTTTCGTAAACAAATCAGCTGGTTGCTCCCGATGTGGCAATTTTCCGAGGAGCAATGTCGTCGGACTGAACACGCTCACGAACGAAATAGCAATCCATCTCAACATGCTTGGTTCGCTCGTGAAAGACCGGATTAGCATCAATGTGCAGAGCCGCCTAATTATCACAAAAGAGAGGTGTAGGACCAGACAGGGGCGGAGCCAGGATTTAGTGGTCGAGGGGCCGAAATTTTCTTAATACGTTATCGTAAATCCTAAAAAATACGAATAAGAAAAATATATTTTAAAAACTAATTTTGATGTTATTATAAATTTATAAATACACAACTAAAAGAGAATGTCTATCGATACTAGTATTTAGAAAAATATATTTAATGATTAAATTGATTTGTTTATCAAAATAAAATTCTTAACAAAAAATCTATGATTAGCAAATAGCTTATTGAACAAAAAATGGGAAACAAGCTACCTGATTAAGATTTCCATTGGAATCGAAACTATGACTATGGAGTAGCAGATAGGCTTAGCGGTCAAAAATAAGAAAAAACAACAACTTGCTTTCCATTGGCATTGAAACAGAGACCACTCAGTGAAAAGGGGCACACTTTCACTAGACTGGTCATACTTTTCTATTCAGATTTGCGAGTCTGTTAATTTTATATGATATCATTAGATTATACGTATAATCTCGAACCAATTATACGTAAGTTTTAAAATTCTCGCCCGGGGGGGGGGGGGGAAGCCCTAACCTAGCTCCGCCCCTGGGACCAGAGAGAGTTACCCCGAGATCGCGTAGGAGCCAGCGAAGCCAAAGAATGTCACTGAGTTTGCTGGCCATAGCACAATATTCGGCCTCAGCAGAGGAGCGGGCCACAACTTGCTGTTTCTTTGTACGCCAGGAAATGGGAGAATCGTCCAAGCGGAAATAATAGCCAGTCGTGGAACGCCGTGTGAGAGGAAAACCACTCCAATCTGCGTCACAGTACACAATATGAGTGAGAGAAGTCGAAGCAGGGAAGAAGAGAGCACGCCCCGGAGTAGACTTGAGGTATCGAAGAATCCGAATGGTAGTAGCTTCATGTGCCTTAGTAGGAGCCTGCATAGCTTGACTAAGCACATTAACAGCGTAAGTGATATCCGACCGTGTCATAGTAAGATAAAGAAGCCTACCAACTAGTCGGCGGTATGCACTGACGTCAACCGCAGCAGGTGAAAGAAGACGTCCAAGTTGATGCTGCTGCTTAATGGGGGTGAGAGACGGACGAGCGGCCTCCAGGCCTGTATCTGCAAAGATATCAAGTACGTACTTGCGTTGGTTTAGAACAATGCCACGCGGGGAACGTGCAACTTCAATGCCAAGAAAGTACTTGAGAGTGCCAAGATCCTTGATGGTAAACTGCTCGTGGAGATAAGTCTTGACGCGGTTAATAAAGGAGATATCATTACCGGCAAGAATAACGTTGTCCACATATATGAGAGTTGCAACATAGGAGGAACCTCGTCGATGAATAAAAAGAGCATGATCGACACGACTTTGACCAAAATCAAACTGAAGAAGGGCCTGCGTAAACTTCTGATACCAATTGCGCGAAGCTTGGCACAACCCATAGATAGACTTATGCAAGATGCATACTCGAGAATCACCTGGTCGAGTAAAGCCCTGCGGAATGGCCATATAAACTTCCTCAGTGAGATCGCCGTGTACAAAGGCATTGTTCACATCAAGCTTATGAATGTACCAGTCTCGAGTGACGGCTACCGCAAGAGGGCAGCGAACCGTAACCAATTTTGCCACATGGGCAAAAGTATCATGAAAATCTATACCCTCAACTTGGGTAAATCCCTTAGCAACAAGCCGAGCCATGGACGTATTTAGATGATAATTACGAGAGAGATCGATTACTTACCTTAGTTGAATAACAAATAGGATTTTGTCGAAGTGGTCCCTCGAACTTCACTTTCTTCGCCTTTTATAGAAGAAGGCGATGGGTGGGGAAGGGTTGGTCTAGAAAGAAATGGATAGAGAGCGATGGGTGGGGAAGGATTGGTCTAGAAAGAAATAAGCAAAAATCGATGGGTGGGGAAGGGGAGATAATGCCCTAATTTTCGCTGTCGACGAGAGAACAGAGAACAGAGGCATGCGAGAGGAGCGGGTGAGAGTTCTGGGTAAGGATTCGATCTTCCAAGCGGCGACGTCTTTGAACGACCGCCCGTCGCTGCATTTGAATCGGAGAGAATGCCACTCGTCGGGGAAGAAGGGAGAAAAAAGAATGTTTTGGTGTTTTTTTGTTTTGTTTTGCTTGAATCAGAAAGAGGCGAGGTGATAAGGTGGCGATGGGTGGCCGAACATATTTTTGGTTGTTTTTCAGTTTTTTAATTAGATAAAGAAAATAATAAAAGATATTTGAAATTCAATTTTTTTTTTGGTTTGGTGCTGACATGGCAGTGACCTGGACAGTTTGACTAATGGTCAAACCACTCTTTCGGCCAATTGAGTCTATATACCACATAATTCGGACCTAAATGTTAATTTCTCAAACCACAAGTCAAAATTAATTATATGATCATTGGCGAATATTAACCCTAATTTAATTCCATCGACCAAAAGGTTCTCTAATTAGTAATTAGGCTTTGTGAGCTGTTCTGACCCGCTACACTTATCTCTCTCTAGATGGGAATGGGCGAGGGGATTGCAGATACGCCCAAAGATAAGAAAAGCAGATAAGGCTCCCTCCCTGTACTAAAACCTTTGTTCTCTAGTTCACGCTCCTCACACTGCTGTCTTCCTCTTCCTCCTCCTCCATGGTTCTTTCCTGCACCTGACACCCACAAACGTAACTCTTATCTCCCAGAAGAAGATGTTGAGTGCATTATCCCTTGCTGCTGCTGCTGCTGCTTCTTTTACTCCCAACAAGCCCATCACCCCGATTCATCATCCCCGCAACTCCATCTACCATTCCTCCCCCAAACTATCTCTACCCTCTCTTCCACCGCATCTTCGATTTCCCACCACCACTTCCGTCAAGTCCCCCGTCGTCTCTGCCGTCGCCGTCGACTCCAGCCAACAGCAGCCCACTTCCTCCTCTTCCGACGGCAAGGTAGGGTTTCTAAACTGCATCCTTCCTTCTGTTAAAGCCCATTCAGAATTGGGGTTGGAACTTGGATTCAGCATCAGAATCAGATATGATAGTTTCTTCTGCTTTTGTTTTCCTTTTTTCTTCATTCTTCCTCTTTTGGGGAAAATGTCCGCATCGGCAGGGGACTAGCCAAGAGGCAGGGAGTGGGAGGAAGAGGTACTATTTCGTGGTGGCGAATGCGAAGTTCATGCTGGACGAGGAAGAGCACTTCCAGGAGCAGCTGTTCGAGCGCCGCCGCTACTACGGCGAGCGTGAAAAGGAGCTTGATTTTTGGCTTGCGATTGAGCCCGCCTTCTTGGACAAATTCCCTGACATCACCAAGCGTTTGAAGAGACCTGCTGTTGCCTTGGTCTCTACCAATGGACCCTGGATCACGTAAGCCAAAGCCATGTTCCTTCTCTTCAATCCTTCATCTTCACTGTGATATCCCGATGTTAAGATAGCATTGCTGCATCCTGTATATTTGCTTACGCTATTGATAGCATTGGTTGAGCTTCAGATCCGATCAATGCACCTGTTTTTGGCAAATTGCTTGATTGGGCAAAGATGTTTTGGTGCCTCTGGAATCGCATGTGCATTGAAATGATCCAAGAGGTCCCTAATATTTGAGTCAGATCCCTTGCTACTGCTACATCAATAATTTCTTCTCAATTTGGATTGACAGGTTCATGAAGCTGAGACTGGACAGGGTTCTGGCAGATAGCTATGAAGCTGACTCACTAGGGGAAGCATTGGCCTCAAATCCCACTACACTGGAGTTTGACAAACCTGATAACTGGTCAGCACCATATCCCAAGTATGAATATGGCTGGTGGGAGGCTTTCTTGCCTGCACTATCAACAGAGTCCAAAGTATAGAGCCACTTTCTTATAGTCAAGTTATGTTTTTTTTTTGGCGCCCAGCTAGCGAGAAGAGTTGTCTTAACGAGTTTGTTGGTAAGTAGGAATTGCAAAGCTTCATCTCAGATTGGAACTGATATGTACTCTTCTAGCATTTATATTAGTTAGTAGAGGTGAGCTTTAGACGTGCGTATTCTTCCAGATCGAAAACTGCGTGCAAGTGATTTTCATGGGACAGAAGAATTCAGAACCAAGTTGTGTTCTTAAGTCTGCTCTTGAGGTTGGGTCTCACTTAGAAAAGGACACACAGGCAGGTGGTATAAGTTATAACTACAAATATACTGTTTTAAGGTGTAAAAGAAAACACAACTAGAAGTATCCCACGCACTAGCATTACGATTACAAAGCAGTAACTAAACGTATTTTTCAGTAGAAATTCATCTAACTTGTAACAGAAGTAGATGAGGGTGCAATAGCTGGTATGGTTCTTGTAACGTGGATTACAAGCAACACAAGAGATTGAGAAGTAAAATAAGTAGAAAAGGCTTAATGCTGCTTATGTGCCTTGAGGGAAGAGAGTATTGGGAATTTGTGTAGGTACTTCTCATCCAGAACTGCATACTGCTTCTTAATTTCTACCCATGCCTTTTCGGCATACGAATCGACAGCATCCTCATTCTTCTCATAAAGTAGTGGCACTGTTAACACCGACGCGAACACTGCACAGGGAAAGTCCTTTCGGTCGTCAGTCTTGGCACAAATCACATTTGCTGCTGCTGCTGCTGCTGCTTATGAAAGGAATGATGCAGTATCATAAGATGATGTAAAAGAGGGAAGAATGCTGACCAAGGTAAAACAGAGTCAGGAAACTGAACCAGCTGCCGATTACAGAGAGAAGCCACAACGACACAATCACCTGCAAGTGCAATGCATTTTGAAAATATCAGGTAAATTGCGATTCTCTCAAGTCGAGATACACAGGGTATGTTCAAGTAGCATGATTGAAGGGTGATAAACAGGAAAAAGGAAGGGTGACCTTGACGAACTTCTTCAAGTCCCTTCCGGAGGCAACATCCCGGAAAGTTCTAACCACACAGTTGAGTTGAGCCCCGAGCATGAGCAGAGTCGAGGTCAGGAAGCGCTCCGACACATCAACCCTAGGGAATTCAATAGGCGACCTGCAATAGGGCCGTGTGTATTGCAGGTAGATTAGAGACAGCGGGTAATGAAATTGATGGAAGGGTGATCAAGGGGTAGTTGTTGTTGTTCTTTGGTGTTCTTACACATTGATGAAGGCCGCTAGATTGGCGCTGAGGAAGAGCGTGGCGAGGACGAGGATGAGGGAGTGGCAAAGAAAGGTGACCAAATGATACCCTGTCCATTCGAAGCACAGCCATACGAAGGTAACGCCGCCGAATATGCTTCCCGACAACTGCTTGTTTCTCCACAGTATTAGGTCCGCACCTGATCCACGGTCCCGACATCAAGATTCGGATCCGAATCCAGATTCCATCAGGACAGCGTTTCAGTTATGATTGGGAAACCGCCCAAAAGAAGGAAGAAAGAAAGTAGGAAAGGCAGAGAGAGCATTAGAGCGAGCATACATACGTTTGCCGGCGCCGAGGACGACGTGGAGAGGCTTCTGGCGGCCGAAGAGGCGGTGCTTGCCAACGGCGGATTGAGACATGATGATGTAGTTGTCGATCTCGGAGTCGGAGGAGTTGGAAGACATGTCGGAGGAGGCGGCGAGGTTGATGTCATGGTCCACGTAGCTAGCGTCGGCGGCGATGGGAGGCGGCAACGGCGTCTGTTGTTTGGCGATCACCTCCTGCATCACCAACTCCGAACCAAGCTGATCCAATATCGCGTCCGTCATCCCTTCAGTCGATCTCTATTGTTTTTTTCCCCCTATCTTAACTATAGTTTTTTCTTCTCCCTCTCAACTTCCTTCTTTATCCACGATTCAGGTTTGAGCCAAATTCACGTACGAACGATGGAACATGGCGGTTGTCGCAAATGTCTTCTTCAGCCTCCTCTACCTCTGGCCCCTTTCCTCAAAACTGGAAGAAAAGTAGACAACTGAAATCTTCAAACGCCAAAAGGCCATGCACCGGAACTGGCGGTAGTTATTATACGAACCACCCTCAATCTCGCAACTTGCTCCTTTCACCATCTCTTATTTTACTCTTTTATCTTTTCCATTTTTTTTTTTTTTAAAACTTCTACCTTTTTTTAACGACTCTTTGCCGAAATTAACGCAAATACTGGTATTCTAGTTCTAGACCATTTGACCGGAAAGAGAATTTTTTTTAAGAGGGCTGCTAATAGTTTGTTACCTGTATTTTCATAATTATATCGGATGTTGAATAGAAGTTGAATCGAAAAAGTTATTGGTTTATAGTTCAGTGGTTAATCATTAGATAATCACTAGCTTTGATTCGACCCGTTGGCCGAATTACTTTAATTTACTAATTATGGAATGGGGAGAGAGTTAGAGCAGGAAAACATTTATTTGGATCGAACCCACAATTTGAATCTATTTGAGTCCATATAATTATACCTCTAAAGAAATATCGACCATCTAGCTATTCCCATTAAACCAATTCACACATTCATTATCGGTGTTTCCACATTTATGTTTGTTATACAAAAAAAATTTCAAAAATTACATTAGAGTTGCTATTCATTTTTTTTTTTAGACAATGTAATAGATCTAATTTAGACTCAAACTAAATAGTCATTTATTGGTATTACCTTCAAGCGATATTACAAAATATGATTTGACTGGTAATAAATTGGGTATGGGAAGGATGGTTTTGGGTTAATATATTTATATGGCCTGAACTTTGAGCAAAATAAACATCCTGACCAATATTTTCGATCTATAACATCCTAGCCCAAACTATACATCAAAATAACTAAATTGGCCAAACCCGACATTTAGCCGTTAACTTGGACGGTCAAACATGTTGACTAACAGTCAACCCGTAACAGTCAACCCACCACGTCACTGCCCGGTCATCATAGAAATCATTAAAATATTCACAATTTTCACAAATTACACATTTACAAATTTTGTCTAAAATCAAAAAAGAAAATATTTCTTTTTAATCCTCTCACTCCCAAGCACTAGGGATTTGCCTCCCCGCTGGATCCACCATCGCCAAAAATACCCCTGTCGGCTTCGTTAGTACTCCTCGGCATCGCCTCCATCGTCGCCTACACAATGCTAGTCCGGTACGTAGCCTACAGTCTCATCCCTCACGAGGTGCTTCTTCCAGTTATTTCCTTCGCCTCCCGCTTCCTCTCCACTCGCTTCTCCAAAACCCTAACCCTCGTCGTCGAACAAAACGCCAGGCTTGTTCGCGACGAGCTCTACAAATCAGACGAGATCTACCCCCGAACCAAAATCAGCCCCGTCGTCCGTCGCCTCAAGATTGGAAAAATCCACAAGCAGAAAAAGGTCCGCGAACAGTCGAGCTCGAAAGATTGGTCGGCGATTCCTCTTTGGATCTTGTGTCGTGTCCATCAACGGAGTTTACGGGGCGAAGGGAGACCGCAAGCATGGTCGACGAGGCGAAAATTGCCGCCAGCGGTAGATCCGACTCTGTTGCAGACCAGGAGAGAAGAAGATAGGGATTCCAAGATTGGGATGGTTATGTTTTAATTTTTGTTTTAATTAAGAGCAGAGTTTGATTGATATGGAGAGGATGTTTGATTTGGGGTTGAGTAGCAGATGAGAGAGCTCAGAGCTCTCTTTCGAAGAAGAGGTTGGGGGAGTAGACGGAGGGGAGTCGCTGGCGGTGGTGGGGATTTGTATTTAATTTTTATTTCAATTTAATTGTAATAATTCAAAATTAGAAAATATGTGTAAATTGTGAATATTTATTAATTTTTATGATGATTGGGCGGTGATATGGCATGTTGACCGTTAGTCAACGCATTTGACCGTTCAAGTTAACGGTCCAACGTCAGGTTTGGCAAATTTAGTTATTTTGATGTGTAGTTTGGGTCAGGATGTTATAGATCGAAAAGATTGGTCAAAATGTTTATTTTGGTCAAAGTTCAGACCATATAAATATATTAACCCATGTTTTTTTACAATTCATAGTGGAGGGAATTTTTTAGACCACGTTTGCATTAGTTGTTCATTCACCATCACATCCAATGCTAAGGTATCACTTTCCCATAAGACTTTTTAATTTACTGCGAAATGAGATGATCTAAATTCCTTCACTTTTGGGTTTCAAAATAGTAAATTTGCAATCACTTATTTAAATAGTTTCCATCTCCTACTTTTAAATGTGTGAGATTTAAAGTTTCTTTATCTAAATTTCATAGCAAAATATGAACCTGTAAACATTGGCAGAGGTGAGTGAACAACTAAAGATCATATGATTGTAGCTTTAGTGGTATGGAGGTATATTTGAGCTCATAAATCAATTAATAGCATCTCATCTTTTATTGAAAACTAAGCGAAATTTAGGGAGCCATTCATTGTTATATAAAAGTATTTGAGTAAAATATGTTTGGAAACTGAAATTGCATGCTTTAGTGAATAATAGAGTTCTTAATATGGTGGCGTCTTCGGTGCACTCACTTTTTTGGGTGCACTCACTTCATAACCGTCATTTTAAACATGCGATTTATGTCAAAATGATGTCATTCATCACTTATGATGTGATGAACAATAACGCACATGAATTTGCACAAAAACCATTGAAGATTTACTTTAATTTGAAGGATTTAGAGTTTAGAGATTTAGGGTTAGGGTTAGGGTTTACAATTTGGGGTTTAGGGATAGAACTCAAAATTGGAGGTCTAGGGTTTAGGGCAATCCACTAATTAGTTGTTATCATATGTTATATCATCATATTACACTAATTCTACAAATTAAAATTTAAAATCCGACACCTTAAGACTAGTTTTTGAGTTGGATGCATTGAGCGCACTCATTTTTGTGAGTGCACCGAAGTAGCCACCATATATATATATAATAGAGGAGTATACTATACCTATAACCCATTAAAAAATATACAACAAATTTGTTCAGTCTAATTTGTTATGACCAAGGTTGTCACTCAATTCCACCAATGAGTCGTTTAAGCAAGTGGGTTATGGATTAATGGATGAATTGGATTAACCTGGTTAAGCCTAGTTTTACCCACATGCATGAAAATTTTATTGCTTTCACATGTATTATGCTTAGATATTAATGAAACTTCTATGATAAATTTAGATACAATGACGATTTAATAAAACTTATCCGTTGGAATTGAGTTTCATTTTTATACTTTTCTCTCACTTGGAACTGGTGCTTTAAAATGACGCTTTAATTCTAAATCTCTTCCCTCTTTCTTTTTATCCTTTTCCATTTCATTTTCTAGTTTTTTCTTTTCTTCTTTTCATTGCATATCATATTCCATTCTCAATGTTCTTACTCTTCTTCTCCAATTCGATTTCATGTATATATACAAATGAGGACATTGGTCTTTGTTAATCACACCAAGTCTCCATCCAAATATATGTTCGTCTAATCTTGTGGCTTATTCTTTGTTTGAGATGTGGTTGATTGGCGATGTGACCTTGCCGTTGGAAGGAAAATGGAATTGACTACTGAGTAACTATGTTGGCTTTTGAGATGATTGTTGCCTGCCGATACTAAAGGAGGAAAATATATTATGGGATAACCGAACACAGGTGGTTGATGTATGTTGCTGCATGGGTCTTTGATAAGGAAAAGGACGACATGTCAACAGAGCTAGTGATTAGATTTGTTGAAATTGATGTCGGTTTAAAGTGACTCAGTGCTTAGATGAGTTAGTTGAATCAACTTGATTTCCTAATTCAACTGGTTTTCTTAGTTTGACCGAGTTTGGGTTGATAACCAGCTGGGCCTCCAACATCCTAACAAATACTCGAGTTTGGGCAAAACTGATTCGCCCAACCATGTGAAACTTGGGTTGACAATCAGGCTTATGATTCTTGTCTTTTTTGGAAGATATATTGGTTCAAATTCCAATACTTGTTTATTTTCTACAAATAAATAAGTCTAATAATTGTGAAGGCAAATATATCATTCATACTTTCGCTCTCGTTGTAGGAATTTGAAACGGAAAAAATACTTTTCTCATTCCACTCTTATATATTGTATTGTGTTTAGACGTAGACATATGTCATTGCCTTGGAAATTCATTAACATGTCAAAAAATGGTGAAATGAACCAATAATTAAGCTCAATCTCATACAATGATCATTGGATCTAATCATGCCAGATTAGGAACATGTTGAAAGCTTAGAAGTTAACCCGACTAAAACGTTAAAAAACCAGTCTCATATAGTCTGCATAAGGATATGATTTCTTCATAGTTGATTCTAAAAATTAATACTAATTTAAAACTGTGACATTGCTTCGACCTATTTAATACTCTAATTTTATATGCAATATTCAACCAAGTGATATATGGGTTGCAATTTTAAAGTTATCATCTGTTTATAATATACATTGAAATATAAATTAAGTATTAAAATACAATTAAAATAATAAAAAAATATGAAAGTCGAAGTATCAAATCACCAAATAAGTACTTATGAGAGATTTAGTTGCTAGCTAACCGCTGAAAAGGTCTTTTGATTTTTGAGATTTTAGATTTGTGTATGTTTTTCTTTTAAAAGATACAACAAATATATGGAGCATGATTGGTTGTAGCCCTTCCCTCTCTTAAATTTGTCATGGATCAAATCCCCATATGTATATATTTTTTATGAATAAATAAGAAAGAAATAAGTAGTTGCGAAGACAAAAATGTTCTTCCTACTTTCACTCTCGATGCATGAAATTTGAAATGGAGCAATGGGTTTTGGCTTTCACCTTTAATATTTATGGTAATGCTATGATTAAGACTAGCGTAAAATTGGACCGTAAGAGATATAAATGCCTCAAATACCACAAGAACATGGGGTGAAAACATGTGCAATTAGACCCGAATCACTCCCCCGCACTTGGATGTTTGCTTGTCCCCAAGCAAACCAATATCAAACAAGGTAATATCTTAGCCTAAAAACAATGACTTTGGGACACATAAAAGGGCTCAAAGTGGATGAATCTCAATGGCTATTTGGCACCAACACATGGACAACCACAAGCAATATCGACAACAACCACAAATG